TAGCCTATGTATCTCGTATATGGCTTTTGCATTGTTCGCTGCTCAATATACAGCATTAAATTAAGATTAATAACTTTTGGTTCTTCATTAGAAACACAAACTATCCATAATGCTTACAAGAATACATCTGAAAATATAATTAGAGGTACAAATAGCATCAAGCTACATTTCAAAACGTATGTAATTATTAATGTTTTTGCTCAAACCCCACTTTAAACCATCATCGAGTGCTTGTAATAACTTGTAATATCTAAAATGGATTTAGATTCTATAATAGGTAGACATGCACTCTTTGTATGTTTTATAATAGACTGAACGCTACCTGCTTGTCATAAACCTTTATTGTTATAAAAATACCGTGAGCTACAGAAAATATATCTTCATAATCATATGTCTATTTGCTTTCATATTTCATGTGTAGAAAAATGTTTCTCTATTTTTTTTTATATACGGAAGGGCAAGAGATGATTGACAGATCTTGAGTGAACGCGCTCTCGCGCACATGGAATAAAATGGACTGTGCTCTCCAGATCACATAATTCAGTGGAGATTTAATAGAAATGTTATTCTGTATTAAAGAATGTGAGAATATATCTGTTCTCAAATACCAACAATAACAAGAACTCAGCATCCACTTTCTTCTCTCTACTGGGATACTCTTCTTCGGTGTTTGTTTACAATGGCTTTCGAAACAGCGCCACCATTCTCAACCTTTTGTGCAACAGCAGCTGCTCCGGGCACGTGATCTAAGCTCAAATCTGATTGGACGGCCCGTTTCATCGCGGAGCGACGGGGAAAAAAATCGACACACAGGACGAAAAAAAAATCTTCGCTCTTTCGCGCCGCGAATGATCGCGCCTAGTGTGAATAGCCCCATTAGGGATCAATTGTTTTGATTCAAACGCGTCATCGCGCCGAACATTCACGCCGATTTTCGTGTTCAGTGTGAAAAGCCCTTTAGTTGCACTGGTTGGAAGGCCCACCAATATAGAACATTGCAGTAGTCCAATCTTGAAATTACAAGAGATTGGACAAGTAGCTTTGCTGCATATTCTGACAGGAAGAGCCTGATTTTCCAAATGTTGAATGAGCGTGTACCTACACTGCCTGTGAAGTAGGACTGAAGCCACCGAAGTACCGTACCTGTGATCCCCAGAAAGAGTGAACAGGAGGATATGTCAAAGGCTGCAGGTCAAGCAGAATAAGAACATATGATTTGGAGTGTTCAATCAGCTCTCTGCTTTTCTGTCACGGAACAATCTACTTGAAAAGAACCAGTCTGGGTTCAAAAGCAGACACTGAAAGTGGAGGCAACCCTGTCGACCGTTGCTGAAATTCTTCGGCTGGCAAGAGTGAGCAAAGCATGTAGGATGGGTGGAACAGCACTCTGGAGATCTCATTCTCTGAAAAAGGACAGAAAGAATAGAAGTGTTGGAGAGACTTTTGACTGTCAGGATCTGATTCGTAATTGGATGAGTGAACCCCCCTGTGTGCTGGTTAGAGCACAATAATATATAAGGATGAGGAGACAGGTGATCAGGTTTAGGTGATGTATTGATAGGAGGTAAGCCACAGAGGTACAGGTATTTCACAGGTGGGTATTAATTACAGGCAGTAGAGGCATTAGTCTGGAACACAAGAAATACAATAAAGGTTAATCAATAACTAACAATAACTAGGCATATACAACAATAAACATCCATTGGTACATAAAGGCAGCCAAAGCAAGCTAAATCCTCATCAGTAACATTTTTCCATGAAATATACAATCCAAGAAAAGAAAATAAGGTATCACATTGTACATTATAAGCCATTAGCGATCATCTAACATGATAAACATCACTCCATATATGGATAGAATCGAGGCACATCAAAGTTATCGCTCGTTTGGCATAAACAGCTTGAAATATCTAAATCACATCACAGAGGTATCATTGAAAATCAAAACAGTGATATACATCTCAATAAAGAATAAATAATTTGTATATGGAACAGCCTCATTTGGGCTGATTTCAACTAACAAAAACAACGTCTGCGGGAATGTCTAGACATGTGCGTGTGACGCTGTTATAAATAACTCAATACCGATCTCGATAAACACAATAATAAAGAAAACAGACTTACTTGTAGGTCAATGACTAACACCTCAAGGTAACTTCTGCAGCAAATATGACAGGAATGAATGACCTTTCAGCGATCGGCAGAATACAGAGTTCAGCAGGCATCAGCGGCTTAACTCACGAGACTGCTCAGCCAGAAGGTGTCAGAATAAAAGCCCTCTCTTAAAGGAGCCTTTACAACAAGAAGAGTTGAATGTGTGTGGGTGGAGGATGTAAAGAACTCAGCCAGAAGGTGATGTACAGTGTCAGAATAAAAGCCCTCTCTTAAAGGAGCCTTTACAACAAGAAGAGTTGAATGTGTGTGGGTGGAGGATGTAAAGAACTCAGCCAGAAGGTGATGTACAGTGTCAGAATAAAAGCCCTCTCTTAAAGGAGCCTTTACAACAAGAAGAGTTGAATGTGTGTGGGTGGAGGATGTAAAGAACTGGTTGCTGATGGTTGCCAGCTTATCAGTGAAGAAGCTGGCAAAGTCATCAGCATTCGGAGAAGAAGTGGGAGGAGGTGGACAGATAAGAGAGGAGAAAGTTGTGAATAATTTCAGGGTGTCTAAGGCATTGCTGATTTTGTTTATCTTCGCAGCAGAATCATTAGAGAAGAAAGAGGACAGGAGATAATGGTATTTGCTCAGGTCCGCAGAGTTTTGTTGTGTTGCTTCATCTCCTCTTAGCAGCTCTGAGCTTAGTTTGAGAGCAGAGATGAGGGATGGGACACAGAGGCCACAGGGGAAAAGTTCTGCTATACTGCCAGACAGTGTCTAGGATTGTTGTAGTCCAGGGGTTTTTCAAACCTGTCCTGGAGGCCTCACTTGTCAGGCACACCCAATTCAGGTCTTGCAGTCTCTACTAATGAGCTGGTGAGTTGAATCTGGTGTGTTAGTTGAGGGAGACATAAAAAATGTGCAGGGCTGGAGGGCCTCCAGGACAGGTTTGAAAACTCCTGTTGTAGTCTTTGTTGTATTTGTCTTCCACTGTTTTGACTATCTCTGGTGGTGAAACAGAATGCTGGTTACTGGTCTTCTGTCATTCATAGAACCAAGGTTACACCAGTAACCAGCGTTTTGTTGTGTTCAAAAACATTTTGATGTCATCCTCTTAAGGTTCTGTCAGAAAGATTACCATTATTTTTAGTGTGAAAATATTACAGAACAGTGGGTTTAAACTGAAAAGGGTTTTCACAGTGATACAACAGATGTAGTTGGCAATGCAGCAAAGTGGAATAGAACTCAGCTTTATGCAAATGGGAGTGCAGGCAGTGATCTCTTACTTGATAACACTGGATACAGCATTGCACACTAAACAGAATGAAATCTATCAAATAATAATACCAAGTGCGGTATCTTCTTAATTAAATCATTATTCATGGCGAAGTAC